GTGGAAGAGAATGAGGAGTATCGAGTAGGCTATGGCGAAGTAACGGATAAGACGAGCTGTCGCGCGGTCTAAAAGACAAAAATGGTGCTACGTAAGGATTGATATTGTTCTTTTCACTGGAAGATGGTGGTAATCTGTTCTTCATTCCATAGAGGGGTAACTTTGAGTCAGATCTGAAACGATAGCTGCTCTGTATTGGGGAAGCGCCAGAATCAAATCGGGTTCCTGCTAGACCCCCCAATTTCCAGAGCGAATGGAAATGGGCTTTGGGGACTCTTTTTAGTGGTCTGAACTAAGTCTAATTGTTAGCTATGGCTGGGATGGGAGAGGTTCGGTCGGTGACACTCAAGTCTCCATCTACAGTCCCTTTTAGATTCAAGTCGCAACCGCGAACCGTTAGTGGTTATCTTTGTCGATTACCGGTGGTTCTCATTGTCACGGTGACGGGGATTCTTAGGACGTCGCAGAGACTAACCTCTAGTGCATCTTCGACCTTTTGGTCTTCGGTCTGAGCGGCTGACATGCCAACTCGTTGACCTACATTCAGCCGTCAGCCGACTATCGACTGCAATTAAAGACTATGATTCGCGATACGGCAAGCTCTCAACACGGCGCCAGCCGAATCGCTACGATTAATTTCCTCTCGAGTGCGGATGCAAATTGGTTCATGAAGTACACCAGATTAAATCCCTGGCAAAATGTGCGTATTGAGGGCCATGCTTCAGGTAAGAGTAAATATTTGGAAAGAAATTCTAGAAGAATCGTATCCTTTTCATCAACCCAGGCATGGGTAGACTGTCGTGAAATACCTTCCGTGTGGCTGGGTCCGTTTCGAAGAACGCAAGTACGGACTCGTCAAATAGACAATCATAAACCACGTGAGGGTGATAGTTAATGTTGAATGAGGGCTAACTTCGTGTGGAATAGTTACAGGGACACACCACAGTAAATGTGATTCTACGCGCCTCCAATAACGTGTAGTCAGGTTTGAACTAACTAGTGTTTTATGAGATTGCCTTGAACAACCAGAAAGGGCAGCTGCGGGTGACCTGTTTGCGAAGAAGAATCCGCTGCCCTACATGCTGTGCTCCACAGAGATTGCGCATGCATGAGAACTGGTGTGCGCCAGTGGCAGTGACTTAAATCTCACCTCACCCTCCTTATTAGCCATTCCGGTCCAACAGTGACAAGGCGAACAATCATCTGGACGGAAATTGTATGCCAGAGTTAGTAATTACTACTTTTGGACATTAGAACCAGGTGTGGCTGAGAAACCTCCGACGGCATCAGTTCTGGTGGGAAGGATCCTGATACACATTCAGATATCGGCAGAGTCGTCCGCGCTCTAGCTAGCTATCATTTAACGGTGGTTGAGTCTGCCGTTCAAAACGTCTAGGCAAACTTACTAAGAACGACCAAAATTGGTTCCGCCTAGTTAAGCTTTTCTCGACATTTTTAGCTTCACTGGCAGACGACTGTATGCAGTTAGTTGAGACGACGGATCTCAGCGCGAAACTTTTAGGCAAGGTATGGGGGATTCAACCCGCTTACGTGATTAAAAAAAATTCCAAATTAGTGCCAAAACAAGAGGCGGCCAACAACATGAAAAAAACCAGTCCGCAGGAGAAATCTTATAGGGTTGCCAGTGCTCACGCGTCCCCCATTATCCATTAACGCCTGTTCGGTGATTGGCTAATTTTTTCGGCGACCATTTTTAGACTATTCTTGGTTCACTTCAATGGCGCCGCCTGTTCTATGTATGTATATATATGAAGGGTTAGAGGCAGAGCCCGTGATGACCCTATTTATGTACAGTTCTTTCGCAGATCCGTACTTGAAAATAAAATTGCAGGCATTTACAATGTGATCGGGTCACAATTATATCGTAATCATAAGGTAGTGCATAAGTTCACTTTAAATTAGTGCGGAAGGATAGTATATGACAGTTTTTTTACAAAACTGGCTGTGGATAGTAATGTTGTACAAGTCGATTCCTGTCGAAAACTAGACGAAAAATTTTTCTTTTAAACACAAATTGTGTCAGCCGTCATCATCTCGCCTGGAAGCGAGTTCCACGGCCTGACAACCCGCTGGCTGAATGAAAATCTTTATAGGTCTAAACGCGTCCGCTCATTCCCGACTTTTTATGCATAGCCGCGTAGTTGGTTTGTACGGGCGAACTCAAAGAATTCCTCTGCTCTTAATGAGCAACACTGGCCGCGATCAATCCGGAACGTCCAGAGAAGACTGAAGTTTACTTGTTTATAAGAGAGAGGCAATAGCCTCTCCTGATAAGACAAATGCTTTAGATTGTCGATCATCATTGTCGCTCTGCGTTGCACCTGTTCGAGTAAGTCGATATCCTTTCTTATCCATGGAGATGCTGCTGGCATTCCATACTTCAGTTAAGTTCCTATCAAGTCACCAAAGAGTCTTTCAATGAGTTCGGGAGGAAATATTTTAAATGCACTTCTGATCCAGTTTAGAGTACTAGTTGCCCTCTGGACCATCTTTCTACAGTGTTCTGGTGACGATATATTTTTTGGTCGTCTATGCACCCAGCTCTCTGTGTCTTTCCACAGTTTCTAACTTCGTCCCGTCAATAGAGTACTGGTGTTTGGGAGAGGCATTGCGGCCGGTGTTTAGGCGCAAGACCACGCATTTGGATACGTTAAACTTCAAAAGCCATCTGTTTTACCAGGCACACAGTTTGTCGATGTTTGACTCCAACTTCTCTGCGTCATCATCGCACTTGACTTCACTCCATAACTTTTGTCATCCGCAAACATGAGGGTCTCGCAATTCACTACGCTGATGCAGTCATTAACATAAATCAGGAAGAGTACTTGGCCTAAAACAGAACAGTGTGGGACACCACTTTCCACCTTTGCCCATCCCGAGGGAGAGTTACCAACGACGATTCTTTGCACTCTGGATAGCAGAAAACTCCTGATCCACTTAAACATTCTTCCTTGAATCCCTACATCCCTGACCTTCTGTAAAAGTAGCCTGTGTGGGACACTGTCAAAGGCCTCCTTGAAGTCAACAAATATGACATCCACTGGAAAATCCTTATCGGTAGCTCGTGTCCATTCCTAGTGCGAGTGAAGAACACTCCTTCGGCAGGAGCGCTGTGGAGGAAAGCCATATTGGGCATCACACAAAATTTCGTTATGTTCCATATATTTCATCAAGAGTCTTTTTAGAACGCGTCGCTTTATTTTACACGCGATGCAGATAAGACTGACGGGACGATAATTTCCGCAGTCAAGTTCTCAGCCACCTTTATGGATCGGAGTAAAAAATGCGCACTTCAAACAGATTAGTTTGCACTAATTTTTAACTCTGTTAGCGTTGGAGTTATTATGAGGGTTAGGGTTGAGTTTAGAGTTAGGGCAAGGGTTGGTGTTAAGTGTAGTGTTACGGTTAGGTCTAGGTGTGTGGTTAGATTTAGGTTTCAGGGTCAGAGTTAGGTTTTGATAGGCTTCATAATGAAGCTTACTGTTGAATTAGCCAGATGGTTTAGCTTATATCTTAAGTTAAGTTTATCCTCAGGCAAGTATAAGAAGATTGAACAAGCGACGATGACGTTGTTAACAGGGGGCTACTATGAATAATGTGTCGCGATTCCTATTATTATTCAAATTATTTTCCCTGTCTTTCTACAGTTCTTTTATTTCTTTCTATATCTTGCCTGTAATATTTTCCCATGTATTTGGCTTTGTATTGTTCCCCTAATTTTTTTGTGTTGCGGTTTGTTGGGCAATCCGCTGTAGCCTGTTTGACATCTTTTTTTGTACTTGGCAGTTTTGTGAAATGATTTCCCGGGCTTTCAGGCGATTGATTGAGGGCCTTCACGTGAGCTACGATGGCGTTGCAGCGGCCGAATGAGTGGCGACGTCAGATCACGAATAATATTGAAAAGAGTAGACAGCAGGTTAAACTAAAACGGACAAGCTGATTGGAGAATCCTGTCTAGAAGCCCTCGAATCTCTAAACGGGCGGGATCGGATGATGCAGGCGTACGGTACATCGAATGAATCAGGACAGGTAGTGAAAAGATGTACATTTATTATCTACTGCAAAAGGTTGAAACCTATTAAAAGTGGATCGCTGTATAACGAAAAGTGTTGGGAGTGCCTACACTCCCAAAAACAAGAGCCAACCAATCACTGGTGATCACGTGCGTTTGCTCTCTCTCTACAGCGCTGTCATCTCAATCAGGCGCCTTCCCATTGGCTGCTCCCCTCTTCCCGAAGGTCATTGGACCGAATGCCGGCGAACCACGCTAGCGTGTGATAAATATGCGTCACCCTTAGCTAGACATGAGGTGCAGTGTTTTGCTAATACACATTCCGTGGCCAGCCGCGTTTTCTTTGTCTGCTGCTGTGGCATTCGGTACCAGGGTCGAGTGCGTATACGCTCCACGGGATTTCACGTACCAGGCGGGTCGTAACAATCGGCGACGCAGGTTTTCAACTACGATGGCTGAAGAGTACGCAGACCTGAAGCAGATGTTGCAGCAGCAGCTGAAGCTGATGGATGCACTCACCGTTAAGCTGTCCAACTCGGCCATGGGTCAAGCACGCGCGGCTGGTGGTTCGCAATCTGTTGATCACATTGCCGGCAGTATCATCGAATTCTTGTATGACCCGCAGGCCCATATCACCTTTGATTCATGGTACAACCGATACGAACACATGTTCTCTGTCGATCTGGCTGCAGAGGACGATGCATGGAAGGTCCGACTTCTACTTCGCAAACTGGGTCCGGTTGAACAGGAGAGTTATGCCAACTTCATCCTCCACAAGAATCCCCGAGAATTCACTTTCAAGGACACGGTTCAGACGTTGTCGCAGATTTTCGGTGAGCAATCATCCCTTTTCAACTCTCGATTTCAGTGCCTGCAACTGTGCAAACGAGATTCCGATGACTTCATCACTTATGCGGGCATTATTAATCGTGAGTGTGGGCGTTTCCAATTCGGTTCTCTCACTGAAGACCAGTTTAAATGCCTTTATTTATCTGCGGCCTCCAGTCCCCCAAGGATGGTGATATCCGGACACGTCTCTTGTCCAAAGTGCAGCAGAACAACTCTACCACACTGCAAGCGTTGGCAGCAGAGTGCCAAACGCTGATCAACCTCAAGAACGACTCTGCAATGATTCAGAATTCTGCCTAATCTTTCTCAGTCCATATGGTCACATCGACCAAATCGCATCCTGTTACACGGTCCAAGCAAGTGTCCAAGCCGAGATCTCCGCCATCTCCTTGTCGGCACTGTGGCACGTGGCATTTCGACCGGGATTGCACTTTCCGCCAGCATCGCCGCCAAAGCTGTAATCAGGTGGGACACCGTGACGGGTTCTGCAAATCAGTACCAGTTTCTGGAGGCAAGCCAGCCCCCGTCACTCCTAATTCCAGGCACCGTTTCCGGCCAAAACGCAAGCCCAAACCTCAGTCCGTTGGTAATTCTATCAGTCTCTTGGCTGCTTTCCAGCTCAATGCGTCTGGTCGTAGAAAAATTGTTGATGTCTTTCTTAATGGCCATGCAGTCCGTCTACAGCTGGACACTGCCTCAGATATCACTATCATCTCTGAGAGACTCTGGCACTCCCTTGGCAGCCCAACGATGCAGCAGACTTCCCAGTCCGCCACAAGCGCGTGCGGTGGTCTCGTACAGCTAATTGGGCAACTGCAATGCTGTGTGTCGTTCCGCGGTACCAGCATCGCTGCGATCTGCTACATCACCATGTCTGATCTAAACCTACTTGGTCTCGACTGGATTGAACAACTTGGGTTGGCCGATATGCCGCTCCGCATTGTTTTCAGTCAGGTGCAGATTCCCGCTGTGCTTGCAGACCAAGCCAAGGACATTCTCCAACGGTTTGCTCCAGCGTTCCAAGACGGTCTGGGTCGTTGCACATACACACAAGCCGTGTTACATCTGTCTCCTGGAAGTCAACCAGTCTTCCGTCCAAAGCGGCCAGTCCCATATGCAGCCCTACCACTTGTCGAGGCTGAACTGAAGCATCTAGAGGAATTGGGAGTTCTGGTTCCTGTATCCTACTCCGCCTGGGCCGCTCCAATCGTTGTGGTTAAGAAGCCCAATGGCTCGATTCGCATTTGTGCTGACTTCTCCACCGGTCTCAATGCCGCACTGACGCCGCACTGCTATCCACTACCGGTTCCGACTGATCTTTTCACCCTGTTGAATTGTGGCACTTGCTTTACCAAGTTGGATCTCGCTGATGCGTATCTGCAGATCGAGGTCGCCCCAGAGTCGCGCGACTTGTTGACCATCAACACCCACCGCGGTCTGTTCCAATACACCAGGCCGCCCCGGCCCTATTTCAACAAACGATGAACGCAATGCTCTCCGGCATCCCTGGCACAGCTGGGTACCTGGACGACATCATCATCGTGGGTCGCTCCCCTGCCGAGCTGCAAGACCGAGTGTGCGCAGTACTCGAACGCGTGTAGGAATATGGCTTCCGCCTACGGGCCGACAAGTGCCAATTCTTCCTCGACTCCATCAAGTACCTTGGATTCGTTTTGACGTCAATGGTCGCCATCCAGATCCTGAAAACATTCGGGCCATCCAAAGGATGCCTGCCCCCAAGAATGTATCGCAACTTCGTTCGTTCCTTGGCCTGATCAGCTACTATAGCGCCTTCCTACCATCGCTGCATGACGTACGGGCCCCGCTCAACCGTCTGTTGCAGAAGGATGCTCCTTGGTGCTTGTCCCCCGACTGTGAAAAGGCCTTCGCTCAGCTAAAGTCGATGCAGAGTTCAGATCTGCTGCTTACGCACTACGACCCGACGCTGCCGATCGTTGTTGCTGCAGATGCTTCCAACCACGGAGTTGGTGCCGTCATCTCACATACTTTTCCTGATGGGTCTGAAAAGGCGATCATGCATGCATCTTGCACGCTAACCCCCTGCGGAGAACTACGGACAAATAGAGAAAGAGGCTCTAGCCCTCGTGTTTGCCGTCAAGAAATTTCACAAACTGTTGTACGGTCGCCATTTCACGTTGTTGACGGATCACAAACCATTGCTGTCAATCTTCGGTTCGAAGAAGGGCATTCCCGTCTACTCAGCCAGCCGACTTCAGCGATGGGCAACCATCCTTCTTGGCTACGATTTCGACATTCGCTACTGTCGTACTACAGACTTTGGTCAGGCTGACGCCCTTTCTCGCCTCATCAGCAATCAGCAGGAACCGGAGGAAGATACCGTGATTGCAGTTATTTCGATTGAGGACGATGTGCGCCGTCAGCTATCAGACGCCATACGAGGTATCCCTGTCACTGCCGCGGACATCCGACATGCTACTGAACAGGATCCTGTTCTCCGTCAGGCCATCACCTACGTGCAGACCTGCTGGCCAACCACTGCTCTCGCTGGCGATCTTCGCCAGCTCCTCCTCCACCGAGCATCGCTATCTGTGGTTGACTCCTGCCTCATGTTTGCAGACCGTGTGGTGATCCCATCTTCCCTCCGACCCACTGTACTACGCCAGTTCCATGCGGCTCATCCTGGTACCAGCCGAATGAAGTCTATTGCTCGCACTTTTGCCTACTGGCCGGGTATCGACGACGACATCGACAACCTGGTTCGACGCTGTTCTCGATGTCAGCAAGTTGCCAAGATGCCGCCTCGTTAACCTCCAATACCCTGGCAACCACCGGAGAGGCCTTGGTCACGCGTGCATATCGACTTCGCTGGCCCACTTAACGGAGTCTCCTACCTAATCTTGGTTGACGCCTACTCGAAGTGGCCCGAGATTGCTCCGCTGAATCCAGCGACCGCATCTGCCACTATCGCCTTCCCATGACGCATCTTTGGCCAACATGGCTTACCGGAAGTCCTGGTTTCAGGCAATGGCTCTCAGTTTACTTCGTCGACATTTGAGGATTTCTGCCGCGAGCACAACATCCAGCATCTTCGCTCCCCGCCCTACCATTCTCAGTCTACGGTCAGGCTGAGCGTTTTGTCGACACGTTTAAGAGAGCCCTCATGGAAGCTCGTGGGGAGGGGACCACGGACGAGATAGTCCAGGCATTCCTGTTTTCCTACAGGACAACACAGAAACTGGCGTCCCCTGGTGGCGTTTCTCCTGCCGAAGCGTTGATGGGCCGGAAACTGCGTACAACTCTTCATGCCCTCGTCCTTATTGGTGCGCAGCCCACACAGATTTCTCCGTAATTCACAACAATAGTGGTGAAAATGCGATTCCCGGTTGGCATATCAACTGGCTCGTCAGTGGGAAAAACTGTCCAATTATCACCGCGGCCGACGAAGATGGGCGGGATTCAGGTCACGATGACATGCGGGTCGGATGCAGCCACACAGGCGGCATTGATGGGCCAGGCATTAGACAAAGTGCGCCATAAAAGGAAAGCTGTGTGCACGACTGCTCAGTCTCTGAAGATGGGTAGAAGAAACGACTACCCGAAACGTCAGACCTCAGATACACCTCTCCCGATGAACGCCACCTCCTCTTTTGATGACCTGTTTTATTCAAAAATATATGTGTATTGTGATTTGAAAGGAATTTCTTAGTTTTCATCTTAAACTTGATTATGGCTTGACTTTTCCGCATAGAATTTCGAAGAGCATTCCAGATAGTGGCATATCTTATGGGGTAGAATTTTGACCGTTGGGACTTTGTGAATCTGGGGATCTCTATAATATGTTCGTTATTGCTGCTGTTTCTGGGGATGGTGGGGGTTGGTTTGCTAATAAATTCGTTTTGAGAATATCTCGGTCATGGTTAACCTTGAATAGGAAGTATAGACCATTCTGGAGTCTTCTGATCCAAAGAGATCAAAGACCGTATTTAGGATATAATTCTAAGTATGAACCCTGGGTGCCATCACTTCTGGATGAAAATCTAGTAAAACGTGTCTGAATGTCTTGTAGTTTTTTTCGGCCGTCTGAGGGCATTATGCCGAAGAAAATTGAACAATAATCTAGGAGACAAAAAACGTACATTTTGAAAAGTTGTATTCTTAGTGCATTAAGTTCGTCCGCATAAATAAGAGTTTGCGAATTTCTGAGTTCAATCAAAATGTCAATGATGTAAAGAAGGAAGAGTGGCGGACCAGAACCGTGCCTTGAAGTATGCCACTCGGTATTGAGTGAGGTGTCGAGTAGCTATTACCGACCATGACTTTCTGATACCGGTTGGATAGAGAGGACTCAATGAAGTCGAGTAGAGGAGGCCGGATGCCGACAGCTTCCAATTTTACCAAAAGACGTCTATGGGACACCTTGCCAAAGGCTTTGCCAAGACCAAAGCTGATAACTACCACTGACTGCTACTCATTACGAAAAGAAGTGATTAGACTGAGAAATGTCAAGCGGCAAATTTTGCAAGATCGTTCAGACAGAAATGCATGCTGACTAGAGCTCAGAAGCCGATTAGCTAGATAGAAGTAAAGAATTTCATTGAAAATTATCCTTTCAGGAAGCTTTGCTAGAGACGGTCTTTTGTGAGCGCCCCGATAGTTATTAACATCTGACCGAGATCCAGACTTGAAGATAGACTTGATAATTGACGTCTTCCATGTTTCAGGAAAGAAACTTTTTGGACACTTATAAGCCGAGAATAAATGACTAAGCAATATGGCAAGATCGGATGCCTGTTTTTCACTCGAGTTAGAAATCCCATCCGTTCCTAGGCATTGTGGGTTTTTCGAACGACTTATGTGCTTTTAATTAGATGTGAGGAGACGTCAGTTGCACTCAATGTCCTATATGATGGCGACGAAACAGAGAGACTGGTTCGTATTCAATAAGAAGGTGTTTTGCAAAGAAGGTACTAAGCAACTCCGCCTTGTCAGTGTCATCAATGAGGAAGATTTTCTTAGAGGAGGACCGATGCTGAAAGATATTAAGGACGGATTTGCCAGGGTTCGGGTCATTGAGAGCAAGTGATTCTCTTCGCCTGTCGCGCGCTTGGCGCATCCTTTAGGCCATTTCGAAAATTTGTGTAATTCTAAGGTGAATAGATAAAGAACTAGTGGATAGGTCACACACACCTACCGTCGCAACGTTTTAGTCTGTTACGAAGACAATAAGGAACAAGGGAATCCACAGAATTAGACTTACTATATTTACGCGGCACAAACTCTAGGATGTCTTTGGAAACATTGGACATGGCATCACGAAGCATGGTTGCATCGCTACAGGTGAGAAAACTACGCCAATCTGATTTTTCCCAAGGAACTGATTTCTTTTGAATTAATATTTTTGTTATGCCTGTTTTCAAAAATTATATTTATAGCACTCGAGTTTACCCAGGAATATATCCTCGGACCACGCGCCTTAACCCGTTTTTTTAATGAGGGTTCCTCACTTAACCTATCAAGAGGAAAGTATGATATGATTGTCAGATTATTCTTTGACCTAGTATTACTGTTTGGTAAAAGATTTTAATTGCCGATATATTCCAAGAATCATTTTCAAGTCGTGGTGAAGGAGTTGATTTAGTTGGGGGAGCAGTGAACTGAATCTGGAGTTTCCAATTCGCACCAACACTCCATCCGTAATTGAATGGCTAAATTATGAAGAAAAAACGACTTGTGATTTGGTGAATGCGCCTGGTACGTATTTGCCAGTCTGTCGCTTATTCGCTCGAACATGACCTACTCCTTGTCTCGCTTGCAGCGCTTCCGTTTACGGATGTCTGGGCTGTTGTGGAAGTCAGTAATATCGCTCGCACTACTGTTTAGTCTCACAGTGTATTTCTGATTCATTACTTCTGATGGTCAGGAACGAAATGTTGAGTACGCTAGGAGAGATCATTACTATTGCTAACTAACTAGTCAATAGAGTCATGACTCGATCAACTCTTAAATACTTGCACCACTAAACAGGTAAATCAGGCTCTATTGGAATATTGAAATAGATGCCTATTCTTGAAAACGGAACAAATTGCATAACACTTTCATAATACCTTCCTAACTTCAAACTTCTCCCTATTTTTAATATGTCAAATCTCCCGCTTTATACCATCAGTCGGACTAATAATTAACACGTAAAAATACGGTGTTCGTGATAGATTAACCCATGACCATTATGCTCATTATGTCCTGCATAAAAGTCTCATAATTGGGAAGTTTGAAAGCGGAGTGCCAGCATCAGTAAACCATAGCCCTCGGCATTGGATATATGTGCGAATTTTCCGACCATATTTTAAGTGGGCGAGGCCAACTACTAACTAGGCCCCCATAATTTAACATCTTCAATAATTTTTCCATTTACAGATACTGTACAATTGGTGGACGATCGGAAGCCTAGTAGGTTAATTCCCACCGTACACAAGGAATCATAGAATATGTTCATTAGCCGTCAAAGTTCGAGACGAGCTTCGGCCAGCCAAAAGGAAAAAGCACATGGCCGATAATTAATATACAGTGAGCTACCCAGTGCGAATCTTGTCAGTGTTGCGTTTTAGGACCCCAGTGTAGGTGCATTCGAATGCAAGAGTAAATTCCACTGATTTGTGTTCCCGAGAGCAAGGACCGATGATAATCGATTCTCGAGTTTTTTGCTAGGTAGCATATCGACCCTTAACTGTAAGTTACAAGATGAGTTAGAATCTTACCACTTTAAATTACTTCGGATGATATGTTTGGCCAGCTCTCGGATAAATAAATTCTTTGGCTTGTGGTTACTAGTCTGACTGTTTAGTCTATCGTCTCCACACCGCACGCCGCATAGCCGCTGTAGCCGGAAGCCTTTCCACCATATTAACTTCTGCATTTATGCTGATGTATGAAAAGGGTTTCTCTCCTTTCACTCACCTGCAGAGATTAATTCGAGATCTCATGCGACCCTGCTAGCACCATCCCCGTCTGGCCCCGTCATGCCCCGGGGGCCAGAGGGGGCTGGGACCCGTTTGGGTGGGGCTTTGACGGGGCTGTGGACGGGAGAGCCCCGTCTAGCTACGTTCTCGAAAAAAACGCCAAGGGGGACGATACCCCCTCCGTGATATAAACTGCACTTTTACGTTGCCGGTGTTTTCCATTACCTAATTCTCCGCACAGTAGGTTATACTATTCCACATAGGGACGCGGGTCACGCATACCATTTGCGTGTACTAAATGTTACACACCCTGATTTACTATAGTGTTTACGCCGACGAATCAAACGTGTCCCGAGGTATACACAAACAAAAGCAATGAACAGTAAGAATGTGCATGTGGAAGTTTATTGAACATATAAAATAAAAAGGGGGTTGAGGAGGATGTACATGGGGCATATGAGATACAGATCCGTATTGTTCTGTCAACTAATCCCCAGTGTAAGGTTGACGGAAATCCTCATCTATGGCAGGTTCACGTAAGAAAAGAAAGCCAGCTACAAAAATATATTAATAATTCTTTTCATTATCACTTTTGGTAATATTTTTGTTTTAGTAAATGGCATGCGCGGCGTATACTTAATTTGCACTCAGAACTTTAACTTAGGGAATGAAAAAATTATTGGAATATTTATCATGTCAAAAATACGTGATAAATACATTTAAAGGGGACTAAAGGAATAATAAGGCAGTTGGTTATGGTTATTAAATTGTTTTAGTCTCCTTTAAAATAATTTATCATGTAATTCTGACATAAAATGCCAGAAAATACCGATATAAATTTATATCAGTAT